TGAAGGTCAAAGAAGTAACCAGGATTTTTTTCAATTTTTTTCCTAAATTTAGTGCATTAAATTGACCTTATAAACATCTATTACGTTCGCTTTTCTTGCTGGTCCATATATGGACCAGTCCCGGAGCGAAAAGGTTAAAAACTAAAATATTGCAAATCTGTTATCAAACTCTGTCATTTAACTCTTCACGGATTGTTACGTGCCGCGATCTCTGTGTCGCCGCTCAAGTCCCATCTCAACGACCTTATCTACTTTCTTCGTTGGCACATACAACCGGTCGAAATCACAAACTAATAAATACAGACCGATAAACTTCTCCTACCAACAATCTCTCTAATAAATTCCTTCGTTATTCATCCGCATGAACGACTCGCCGAAAGACAAATATCACGCCCTAGGAACGAAAGTCTAGCTCACATGTTTTAGTCTAAGACGAAGTCAGTTCACAGCTCAGACGAGCAACACCATCTCCCAGCTTTTAATAAAGCACATCACAGAAAACATCCCGCATTTATATTCATTACACGGCTATTCGGCGCGTAACGGGACATGGATCTTCTAGACCTACTCAAAAATTGCGTAACGTCGTCTCCGGTAAAAAAGTTTTTTTTTTTAAACGTTTATATCTTTGAAACTACAAGGGATTTTTTCAATTAGTTTTTTTTTTGTAGTCGACGCAGTTTTTTTGTAGTCGTTCAAACTTTTGGTTCAAAACAATTGAAAAAAATATGGATTTTTCGCGAATATATTCAACTTTAAAGTCGCGTGAGTGTCTCACAGATCCAATCTGTCCAACTAGTTGTTATTTTTAAGATCTGTCTCCACGAAGGGTTAATTATGCCTAATTCTGTCTACTTTGTATACGAGTATTTATGTGATTGTGTGTGTTTTGAATGAATTTCAGGTTTCTGGGAACCTCGGCGACAATCTACGCATTTGGTTTACCGGTTGTTCTACTACTACTTATTTCCGGCTACTACCTCGTTAAAGCTGCGATCGTGTCGAGGTAAGTAAAAACCGTTTCTTTCTCGGATGAAGTTTAGTAATTTAATTATTAAATATATTGAGAACACACTTATACGCGCGCGCGGAGAGATATGAAAATAATTATTTTTTTGTCACACACAATATGATATATCTCTTAATATGAAATACGTTACTATAAATATGCAATTTTACAAAAATAATTGTTCAACTTTCGCGATGTCGTAATCGAGATTCTCGAGGCTAACGTTCATGGGAATTTAAACAGATTTTTTGGTGTCTCTCGCAAAATAATTCAGCACTTTGGAGTAACTCGTAAATTTTCATTCCCGTGAATTTACCGAGAACTTTGCTTTTCCGAAAGTTTCGTGCAGCTTTGCTCTCCCTCTCTCTCTCTCTCCTCTCTCTCTCTCTTTCATTCCCTTTCCCGAATTACATCGCGGTCGACGCACACACCGCAGGTACACGTGCAGCATGCAGCTCGAAATAAAACAGCGCGAGAAAATGAAGAGGCGGCGGGCGTTGCAGCTGATGCTGTTCCTGAAGGTCAGTCTGATCGTTGGTCTCGTGGCCGGCTGCGGGGTTGCGTCCAGAGTCTGGAAGATCCCTTTTCTATGGGCGCTCTTCTGCACGGGTCATTCCCTTCAGGTACGTTGTAGAACGATAAGTCCCTTGAGTGTACGCAAAAAGCGTCGTCGCAAAGAGCGTGTTCCGCGTGCTTCAAGGAAAATGCGCAAGAAAAAAAACAGCCTTTTAAAGCTGTACAGAAAAACCGCCAGTTCTCTTCTCTCTGTGTCGCTAACGACGCACACGTATATACGTGTAGGTACTTTACGACCATAATATTTCCATCGCAATTTCGACAGATTATGGCGGCGGAATATATACGAGCGCGCGCTCGTTCGAAGCTGACGTTGAAAGATGAGAGAAGATCGAATTATTAACTTCTTACGCGAATTACGAGACATTCTGTTTCGTTCGCGCTCGAAATTTTTGCGGAAATATAGAAAGTTTACGGAATGTTTACCACGTATTCGTTGCGTTCGATTTATTATTCAAACCACCAACTGATCATTATTTTGCACGTGTCTCCGCGCGGATCGTCACCGAGACAGTTTTCTATTGTTTTATTCATTCACAGACAAAAGAGAAAAATGATCGGTAGATATTACTCTTTTCACTTTATTTAAATCACAATCTATTCTTATTCAATCATAATCTATTTTTGCGTCTTCAGTTGGCATTTAATTTTTCTCATAAATTCGCGAGTATTCGCGCAGTTCACGTTCGGTATGTTCGCGTGGACGGCTTTCGATATTACACCCCGACATAGAGACCTCGAGGTCGAGTTCTCGACGTTCTCCTCGCGTCGCGTCGTGTCTTGCATAAAGAGGCGAACGCAGGAACGCGCGGAATCCCTCTCCCTCAACCACCGCGTCTTCGGCAACTTCCTGTGGGAACTTTCCAATCCTCTTCTCCCCTTCTAACGCGTTCGATCTTGCGTCAAGCAAACGGACTTTTCGACGTGTTCTTTTCTTTCTCTTACATTCTCATACATTCGCTCCGTATTTCTTTTCTAGACGAATCTCTCAGAGTTTGCCAAGTCGAGTGTTCTTTAAGAGCGAGTGTGCTTTTCGCGATCAACGAATCCTAAAGTGGCGGAAGATGCGGTTCTAACCTTCCGTTCTTACCTCACTCGTTGCGATCGATCTTTCCATTTCTGCGGGTCTTTATCGCGGATCTTTTCTCTTCTTCGTTTTTCTCCTTTCTTTTCCACCTTTTTTCAGTGAAATGGTGGCTGAATATTTATGAATTTTCAGATCGTTGTTAAATTTTTCAATTCGTACGCGTAGTTGCGATGGTGGTGGTTTTTTTTCAATAAAATGAAAACATTCTCTCTCTCTTTTTTTGCGACAAATTGAATGTTTCATCGTGTAATATCCACTGATACGTAAGAAAATTGTTGCTTTTTGGAACAAGAGGAAGCCGCCAACAATATCTTTTTTTCGATTTACACGCGTTATTATAGTCTTTAAGTTAGCTTGTGTTTCTTTGATGTAATACGATAATGTATCTTGTTTTCTTGTTGTTGTGTTACACACGAGATTTCTGTACTTTACACAGGGATCGGCGGTGGCGCTCTCCGTCGCCTGCAACTGCAGGATCTTGAAAGTCTATGCTAGGAAGTCGCACAAGCAGCCGGAACATCAGGTACGATACACTTCTAATTGAGAGGAAAGAAACTTTTTCTCGACTAATTCTCTCTCCGATCACCTCTTTTCTCGTGCCGCACGTTTATCCAGTTGCTCGTTATCTTTTTGTGTTTCCTACACGCATCTTCAATTTTGGTTTTTTTGTTGTAAATCGTTTTTTTTTTAAACTCGAGAATTAATTTCTTGAAATTCTTGTTCAATTTATAAGCAGCACTGTTTTGTTTTTCAAATAACGTCGAGATATTTTCGAAAGTTTTGATTTTCTTGCGATATTTCAAGTTTTAAAATTATCACGGATATTTCTTGAACATATGCGGGAAATTTTGAGTATTTCGCAGGTTGAGATAATGCCGAGTTTCTGACATATCTTTGAGGAATTATGAAAGTAAATTAGTTTCAACGCGGTAATTTGTAAAATTGCGGTTACTAATTTCTCGAGTAAAATAACATGCGTCTGATCTACCGGACTCGTCTCTTTTCACCGAGGAAGAGAGAGAGATTGGAATTCTCAGACGCGCAAATTACTTAATCCGTTTGATTGCGACGCGCAACATTCCTCATTTTCTAGGTCAGACTGAATTAAACTGTCGCGCTTTTCAACTTTTTATATATTTTTTTTGTTGCGCTGAGTTTATTTTTTTATTTTTTTATTTTTTTTGTAATAATATACGGATCGGAAAAGTAGCTGAGATGTAATCTGTTTCGAACTATCCAATTTCTAGGAACAAAAATATCCCGTTTCCGATTTTTCACAGATACGTAAAATATTTATATTTCATCAAATCTTTTTTATCGCAGTTTTTGCACCAAACTAAAACGTAATTTAAAGTAAATAATAAATATTGCCAGAATTATTATTAATAAAATAAATTTTCTGAGTTTGTACCGGGTGCGCGCGCGCGCGTCAGTGAAAATTTAATAAAGTAAATTTAATAAAGTAACAACTAGTTTTTAATAAAACACAATTTTGTTGATGAAAAAGTATACTCTATTCGAGAGATATCTAAACAAAAAACACGATGCACGTACTGGATTTAATCATGAGGTTTTTTTTTCATTTCTCGTTATACACGTTATTTATGAGTTTCGGAATGTAGAGTAGATAAATAATAGTGGCTTAAATAAAAAAGTTCGGTTCGGAATAAAATCCGAACTATTGCGCGCGAGATGAAAAAAGAAAAAAATAAGTCGGGGAGGGGGATGGTTCATCAATCAAGAACTTTCGTTGTTGTTTATGCCGTTTTTCTAACGTTGTAACGGTATTTGCAAATGTCGATCGTGAAAGAGCCGATTTAACGTCGAGCAAGGCACACACGCTTAGCTTTTCGAGATTTCCAAAAAACGCGAAACTATTCTGTCGTTGAAATCATTTTGCAACAATTGGATCAAATGGAGATCGGCAAGAGAACATGGAGAGCGCAATCGAATCACAGTTTTTCGAGTTTTTATTGAAATACGCATTAAAACTTTTTCGCAGTTGATAAAAACTCCGCTTTTTCGAGAATAGGTACATTTCGATTTCCGATATTGATTGATCAAACATTAAATTTTCAAGCATAAACATTTCGTCGACAATGCTATCTAGACGCGTGTAAAAAAAAAACAAACAAACAAACAAAACGCTGTCCGTCGAAAAAAAAACAGAACCGAACTTTTTGACTAGCCCGAATGAATTTTCACAACGCGATTTGACGTTGACGTTGCAGATCGCAAAATCTAGCAGCAGCATGCAGTTGCTCGCACCTGCGCCGGATCCGGTTTAGACGGATTCCCGGGTTGGTGTCTCTCCGGAACAGACAGGAACAAAGGAAGAGAAATGACGACTGGCAACGGCTGGTGATGTCTCTCTCTTTGTCTGACGGGACGTAATTATTTTTACGTCGGTGATCCGCTGACGTTTCCATCCTAACTTTGCCGGGATTTCCATCCGCGCCACTCCACAGTTTCAACCCCGATGACTTAATTCAGTCTCCCATATCTTTCCGCTTCAAAACTAAACGGATAGTTTTCATCCGTGGAGGGAACGTACAGTTTATGAAAGTTGGAGACACGTGTGTGCGTATATATAAAAAATTTATATATACATGTTAGGAAGTTTTTTTTCATCGATAAATATATTTCTGCTGCTTTAACGTAACGTAATTTTGAGTCGATGTGTGTTTGACAGATTATAAAGATTATATATGTATACATCATTGATCAGGTTCTACGTGAGAAGAGTGTGCAAATAATTTCAAGTTTTGTAATTTATTATTCATTGCAGTTGGTGTAAAACTGTACATATCTTGATCAGTTTTATTTTTATTATTATCAGGTTTTATGTTCTCCGGCGAGAGTCATTATACGCGAGTGTTATACTAACGAATTTGGGAAGGGGAAGTTAAGTAAGAAAACTAAAGAGTCGAACTCTTCGTGAAAGAAGTAAACTTGATCTCTTCAAAACTTTTCGGAGCAACGAAACGAGGTAACGTTCTCAGAACTCGGGGGAGTTAACTGCTAGTTTGGAGTAAAGCAGATTGACAGGCACGAAGAGGACATTAACTTATTAAATATTGTCGCGTTTCTTTTACTATTAATTGATGAAAAAAAAACAAAACAAAACGAGAGAGAGATTCAACGTGAAAATTACGAAAGAAAGATTGAATAAAAACTTTGTCGGAGAGCTAAGTAGAAAGAGCCCGAACTAATTGGATCTAGTGCGAAAAATTGGGATAAAGTTTTATGAGTAATTTCGGTCTTACGTTACACTCGGTAGATTTTCGAGACATGAATTGCACGTTGCGTCGCTGCGAAATCGATCACGTTTTGGCAAATTAATGTTATGATTACGATCCAATAATAGCTTTTGCACGTGAAAAGTGTGCGAATTCTCTTAACAAAACATATTATTAATTACATTATTTTTAAAGGCATTATTGGATCTTACAGTGTGTACGACGCCGCGCAATGTTGCAACAGCGACAAACGAGAAAAGTATGTAATTACATGTTTCTCGATGCACAAAGAATATATTCAACTCGAGAGAAAACACTTGGCTGAATCTTAACAACTTGTTTGGCGAAACATTTCTAGCAAAGTTTTAACACTCGGTATTAAACTCATAACGCATAATTTGTTTTACACAGACCACATTTTGAATAGTCGATAGCATTGCGAGCGACGAACGCACACAATACGCTTTCTTTTATAAGCGCGATCCAAATTGCCCTTCCAAGAAAAATTAGTTCAAGTTTTCCGCGTCGGAATTTTAACGCACTAGAGAAAAAAAAAGTTAAATTGTTTTGCGATGATTTCGCGAAAAAAAGTAACAGCAGTCTCTCTGAAAGTCGAAGAATAGAGTACGTGCGATAACGTTATAAACACAAATGACGAACGGAAGCCGTCGCTGAACTCCGTCAACGCGCGATGTTCCCGCGATGATGGATACCGGGTAACGGCGTCGTGCACCGTAATTCAATTTGTAGAGATCACTTAAGGAATGAAGTGCCGGCACATCTCGGAAAAGAAGCGAATGAGCGGAATCCTAATGGAAGGCGTTGCCGTGCGCGATTTACCTCGAAATTCTCCCGTGTCTACCTTTTGCGTTTAAGAGAGCGGACCCTTTAACCGTGTGAGCTTCTGGTGATCGATTGATCCAAAGATTGGTTTCGCTCATCGCTACCGTTCGCCACCGACACTCTAACTAACGACTCTTGACTGAGACCCACCGCAGTCGAGGCGGCGACGCGTGGTGATGTATCGGCACCTATTGCTCGCTATTTCGCGAGCGAGGAAAGCATTCGCACACGCCATCGTTTCTCTTCCCTTTGAATGGCGTCCAATCAAGAGAGAACAACGTATAAATCGATCGCTCTACGAGCATCGAAAGTCGATTAAACGTACGAGAAGAGAGAACCTATGTGTAAGATGGTTGCCAAAAATAGTTAAAAATAGTTTTTTTTTTTTTTTCATTAATATCGGAATGATAGCTCTTGATATATTTATAGTCAAAACGTTCAACTAAAAGAAAGGAATGAAATAAAATTGAACATTTTATACAATAAAAAATGATAATTTTATATTGAAATGCTCATCCTAATGAAACGATAAGAAAACGGCCGAAAACAGAAAGAAAAAACATCAGTTTTTCATAACAAAAGAAAAAAAATGTCGAAATTCACTAGAGAGAAAGGAAAAAATAATACACCTCATTTTTTTTGTAAATTGCGGTCACATTCTCTGGGTAGCATTAAAGCGAGCATTCCAAGTAAAATATATTGACGACATTACATATCTGAGGCATATCGTGAAATTGCCTGAAATTAGACCGGAATTGTTCTTTTCTACATAAAAGGCAAAGAGAAATGATGGCGTGAGATTACATTTAGTCGGCGATTGCGTATCGAGAGAGAGATCACGTAGACAAAAAAAATGTACGACGATGGAGGCGCTTTGCGGTGTCACTGGGTAATTCCAATTCGCTGAGTTTGCTGCTGAACAGAAAAAAAAAAAAGAATTCGCGCGAGCGAAAACGAATACGATATATCTAATGTAGATCGACATATCACACATACACACACAGCGTTGAATAATGTCCTTAAATTTTTTAAGCGTCGAGCGGATTGAATGTCGATAGATCGCGCGAGATCGTTTGTACCGTTTCTGTGCGACTTCGCTTGATCGATACACATTCGCGAATTGATTATCCCTTTTGGGGGAAGAGATTCTCGTTGACTTGCACTTGAAGGACTCGTGCGATCAATTGATCTCTCATCATGGAGATGAGATCTGTTTCAGTTCGAGTGAATAATTATATATATCGAAGCGACTGTAATATTGCAACGGCACTTCTGCGACAAACAATAAAACAAATCTTCCTGTCGAAGGAACAGATCAGAGACACATATCGTACAGAGAGAGAGAAAGAGAGAAAAACAAACAAACATACATATATACATACATACATACATACATACATACATACATACATACATACATACATACATACATACATATATACATATATACATACATACATACATACATACATACATACATACATACATACATACATCATACATCATACATACATACATAGAGATATATCGAGATGATCGTCTGTCCGCGGAATGCTCCATCGATTGTTCAATCATCTGCGTTGTGCATTTACGCAAACGACCTCAATCTAGATTCCGTGCACGCAAGCTTGTTCGTATCCTCGGTCAACGTCGCGGTATCAAGTGTATCGACCAATCGACCAACAGGATTCGATACGCGCGAGAGGAGAGAGAGAAGGAGAGGCGTGAAATATCGATTCGGGTGCGTGTAAACGCGCGCGCGTGCATAAACACACACGTACACAGAGTATATTTGTCGTGATCGCTCGTGGTTTCTTGCGGCCGATATTCCCGCGCGACGCAATTAACATCACTTGGTAATGACCTATTACATTAGTACTTGTGTAATTGCAACACGCATATACGTGTAGATGTGACATGCATGTAATCACGGCGAAAAAAATAAATATTTTCAAACATCTGGAAAGCGGCGATTTTTACGCACCGGCGCACATCTCTTCTCCTGACGCAATCCCGATCCTTTTAATATATATCTCTCTCTCTCTTTATCTCTCTTTCTCCCGACCCACGAATAAAGGACCTACGGAAGAGGAGCGTTCCTTCGCAATGTCGAGTTGTTGTTACGACACGGCAAGAACGAATGGTGTGTACGTACAGTCATGTCCGGATGTTATCCGGCGATTATTCTTCCTTTATTACGTCTCGTGACTTTCCACTTGCGAGAAATTTAAGAGAGAAGATTTCACGTACCGATAAATTTTTTTGTCGCGCCCGAGACTGATGTATGTACATCTGTTTTACGAAGCAGTCCGAATATATTTTCTCGTTGTTTTTTTTGTATTTTTTTACGCTACTATTTTATATTGTTTTTACTAATACAAGTCGCAGAAAGATACATCGAGAGAAGATCGAAAGGGAAAAATATTAAGATAATACCGGTGCACAATGCACGAGGCAGAGGATTAATGCTCCGGATACTTGATCAGAAGCTATCGATTCTCGAAATATAGTACAGATGACTCGTTTAGTGCCTTTCGAACAGGCGGGAGAGCGGCTTGTCCGTGTCATTTCTCTCTTTCTCTCTCTCTCTTTCTTTTTCTCTTTCTCTTTCTCTCTTTCTTCCTATGTGATTCCCCGCTGAACGATTTGACATTTAATTATCGAAAATGATCGGTCGAACGGATCGCGACCAAATGCATTTGATTTCAGCCTGCCCTTTTGGCCGCAATGTATTCGCGCGATTTCACGATGCGCGGATAAGCACTTTGCCCGCATTTCGATCTAAAAAAACGTGTCACCGTCAATATGTTTCTCTTTTCTCGTTTAAAATCCCGCGTTCTGTTTTACTCAAGTAAAAAATTTCTGTATCTTTCGAAAGAAAGTAGAACAGTAGTTTTACGAATGATATGTTTGAATTCCGGCCAGTTGTTAGACGCGTTACATTATATCAATTTCCACGGGAGTGGATTTCCACCAAATTCAATTTTCTTGATGACGACATCGGAGATTCGTTGATAGTGTGACAGTCAGATTACGACACAAGATAAAATAAAGTCGTAAAACAGAACAAACGTGCGCGTTTTCTTTTAATGATATTAATTTTCTCCAAAGAAAAATATTTAACGATCTTTTTTATCCTCCCTCGTTTTTTTTTATATTTGCGCTAATTTTCTTTTTAGTCGCATGAGACTCGCGAATACTCGTATTTCGCGCGCGCGCGCAAAAAAAAAACGTCCTTTTAGGCGAGTTAATTAGAGAATTTTCGAACGACTTTCGTTTTGCTTTAGTTGGTTTGAGAAAAAGGGGACGAAAACTCTGGACCTGCGGCTGTGTCAGCGCTTGTGTCGTCCGCTCGAGAGAACGACAGTAGGACTCGTTAACGGACTCTTAAAACTTAATGCCGAGATCGTTAAGAGGGAATGCGCTGTGACGTTAGTAGCGCGGCTTTATGATGTCGTATACACGAGTAACGCACAATAGCCCCCTTGGAATTCCTCTTATGTTCCTCTCTTCCGCGCTTGTCATCGCAGACGAGTAAGACGGTATTGAAACGAGCCTGTGATCTCACTCTACCGCCTACAAAGTTTACTTCAGCAGATAGGTGGGTGGTGATGAACTTCTTCCCCCACGTGATGTGAATTTCTATTATAAATAAAATAGAAAAAATTTTTTCTCAGCTTTACAAACTCCCGAGTTGTCCGGGAGTTTTAAATAGTGCCGGCGAAAGCGCGCGCGTCATTGACACACTTCGATTCAAGTGGAATTTAAAAAGAAGATAAATGAAACTTGTTTTGTTATTCGGCGAATAAAAGTTCTATGCGAAAAGGGAAAAAAGTGATATTGTTACGAGATTCATTCAGCGTTGAAAATTACAAGCTATCGTGTCGAACTTTAAATATAACGTGAGCTATTGAGAGAGAAGAATCAATAGTTTTTTTTGTTTTTGGAAAAGAATAATGGGTTGTTTCTCTTAAAGTTTTGAAATTCCACCCGAAAAAAATGACCGCGAAAGAGAAAAAGTGATAAAAAACCGAAAATTTTTATATTTTACATTTAACTCGCAAAAAGATTTCTGTTTTCTTTCCGGATAAGACAAGTTACTAACCAACAGATTAATGAGTTTTTCTCTCGTACGGTGTTCGTGGAAATTGGATTACCTCGGGAACAGTAGCCAAGAAGGAAAGCTTGGGAAGCAGTGGATTAAAGGCACGTTCACCCATGGGCATCGCGAACAGGGTTAAAGGTAGAAAGAACCGTAACTCAGTCAGTCTCGCAGTCTGTCGTAACTCTAAGTTTCTTTGTCATCAAAACAAAAAACTTGAAAAGATAAAATGCAGTTTATCTAACGCAATTTTATACGCGAAATAGTTTTTGTTTAACAAGTAAATCTGTTTTCTGCAAATATATATTTGACTCTGCGTTTCAAATCATTTTTAGTGGCAAAAACAAAAAACAAAACAGAACATAGGGAATATCGAGGATAGTTGTTCATATAGCTAATATTTTGCTCACTAAATACAGGAAAGTATTCTTCTTCGTAATGTAAATTGCTATTATCCTGTGATAGTACCATGTGTACAAAGTAGCTTTTATGAAAAACATGGTTTATGATCTGATATTTGATGCTTTCGCGGTCTGTTATATTGAACAAAGATGTTTTTCGGGTTTGAACTGCGTTAGTGTCATTCTTATACCGATGTTTCGTGAATATTTCAGCCCACTTCATCAGGGTTTAAACAGCAACCTGATATTCAGTATGCACGCCTATAGAGTCCGATCATCGCTCCCCGTGCCTTCATTGGCTCAAATTTATTAATTCATATTTCAATAAATATTGCGAATTTTGCAAAATAGTATATAACTTTTCTGTTCAGAATGACCCGATCTACCTACACACGTCGGCTTTATAGTTTGTTGTCAGACACCCTGTATAAGAAATATGATAATTTTAGATTATTTTTCTTATATTTATTTAACCATTTATAACATTTATAAACAATAAAATTGATATAGTTTTTTGTACACTAAAAATCTTAATTGCTCGTAAAAGACCTTGTTCTATTAATTTATTTGATTGTTACATACTTTATAAATATATTTCTTATTGAAAATAAACATTTGACATAAGTTGACTCAAATAAGATGAGATTAAATGTTATACCATGAGTGAAAATGGAGTCACAAAATCCGTCACACACACACACACACACACACACACACACACACACACACACACACACACACAAAAGAAATGTAAATCCGACCTGGCAACCTCCGCGTGGTACATCTTAAGTAATGCTAATGCCGGCGATACTGTAACTTTCAAGTTTTATAACTTGAGTTTTTATAAAAAAGGTTTGTAACCAGTGTTTTGGAAACGTCTCAACGTTGGCTACAAATACATGCTATGAAAAATAGGACACTATTTAAACAATTAAAGGTAATCTTGATCACGACCTGACTTTTTTTTTGCATGGGAGAAATCCATTACGGATACTCCGGCCCTTCGGAGGTAAGGCCGGGGTTATGCGAGACTCCCCTCCCCGGCTCAAGAGCCGAGGAGGTATACTCGCTAAAACCCCCATGGTGTGTCTTCTCGCTCGTTGTAGGTAGGGCCCGGTACCCCTGGTTTAGGACAACCCTTGACCCTCCCTTGAGCCGATCATCTCCCTTTTTGTCAGGGAAAACTCTAAGTTCGAACTTAGAGTTCTCCCCGCAGCACCTCTGGCTCAGCGGTTGCACACACACACACCGCTGCACCGCTTCTCTACTGAGGGCCGCGTGCAAGGACGAGTCAGGGCCCTCATCCTGACCCGTCTTGGCTTTCGTGCAGCAGTGATGGCCCTTCCCGGGTGACGAGTTCACCCGGGGAGACTGCTGCATCCCTTCTCGTTCCGAGAGTTGCCCCGCCAGGACGGCAGACTGACGAGGGAGCCGGCTCCCTCAACGTCCGCCGCCCCGGCCTCCCTCCCCGCTAACTGCTCAGGAAGTGAGCAGCCACTAGCGGGGAGGAGTCTATTGTCAGGACGGGGCTCTTGGGCCACGAAGACGGGCACGAGATGCGGGGGCTCTGCACCCCGCCCGCACCCCCCTCCCCCGAGGGCCCGTGGAAGGGAGAGGGGCTCTTTCCCTCTCCCTCTCCGCGGTCTACTTCTGCTCCAACACTGTAGAGCAGAAAGAGACCACGGTGCCTCACATATCCTCATCCCCGGAGGCCAAGGCTTTTAGCAAGGCCTCCAAGGAGAGGTCATCTCCAATCTTGGCGACCAGCGCTCGGCACTCACCAGATCAACCAGGACGCTCCTCCACGGTATGATCCACCGAGTCGCTGGCCGCCCCACAATGATGGCATTGTGCCGTCGGCTCTTTGCCAATGCGAAACAAC